CGATTCCTGTGCAAGAGTTGGTCCGTTGGGATCATTTTGGCACAGCTTCACCAAGATTAATCGTTGTTTAGTCTTTATAGGGTTCTGTGCCTTCCACTTGTATTAAAGAAAATGATTTAATTTTCTCTTTATCAAGAAAAAAACATTTTATTCTGCCTCATCTTTCTAAGCAATTTAAGCATAAGAAAGAAGTTATTTTCTCAAGAAAAGAAACTTTAAATCAAATAAATTTTTGTACAAAAAATTAAGGTCAATCTATTCCTTATTTAAAAAACAAAAATCAATCTATCCCTTAAAAGCATGAAATGATATTTTATCACTCTTGTCTTCTTATGGCAATTGTGAGTAATAAATATGTTTAAAGAAGATTTTGGTGGGGAGTAACCTTTTGGAATGATGCGTTTAATTTTTTTTGATAAAATAATTAATCATATTAATATTAACTGTTGACCGTTGCAAAATAAATAAAGAAACTGTAGATAACTTAAGTTTAGAGCTTCTCGTCCTATATTATTGACTGACCGTTGGACAATGCTTGGTAACTAAACTTAATACGCGGGATTTGTCTCTTTGAAAAAAAAAAAAAAAAAAAAAAAAAGTTGTTTGATTAAATTAAGGGAAAGTAACTATTTAAATATGATTTTAAATTTTTTTATACCAAATATGTCCTCAATCTTTTAATTAAGTATCTTCTCACTCGCAAACACTAGATGTCTTGCTTAAAAATTTTGAATTCTTTTCACTCAGATCAACTCTTATTGATTAAATATGATATCAACATATATAAATTCTCGTTGACTGCTATAGCTTTTACTAATCTAATAATTTATTGAAAATGCTATTTTCATTATACATTTCATAATATTATTTTCACCCACTGATCCTCCTAAATGAATGAAACATCTCAATCAAGCATTTAAGTTCATCACCATGAGATTAGAGTATCAACAAGTTAAGCTTTGATTATTTGAGGGATTAACCTACTAAGTAACCTATTTGGCAAGCTGATGATGGAAGAGCAGAACTAGGTGGAGTAGAGGGCTAGTCCATTTACTCAGTGGTTGGTTGAACCAAAGGTCAAGACTCAGTACAGGACCACCAGTAGAAACTCTTTCGGTAGCGTTAGGGTTGACCCACATACCAAGTGAGTAGCCCAGCTAATAACAGTCCTAGCTGCTACATCTACATCAACTAGAAATAAAATAATACTAATAAAAGTAAATTAATAACTGTAACAATTCTTCCTTACGTCGATTGTTTATTCGTTTTGGTTCAACAATTATATCTTATAGTGCGAAAAGCAATGTTCTTTTAACGGAGCGTGAAAACGACATATTTATCCATTAATATTTAAAACGTTAACTATACAAGCCTACGAAACATTAGAGTTATAAGTAATTTTCTTTTCTTGTCTGATTTGAAAAAGTAGTATTTATTATTTGGAAAAATACATTTCTTCTATCAAGTGTTTTTAGTAAAAAATTTAAGTTGTACTTGAATATTGAGAAAGTTACGATTGTGATTTTTCTCCCCTTTTTTTTTTTAATATAACAAATCTGAGATTTTTCATAACAAGTGATTTGATTTTTCTTAAATTATTTTAATGAAAATATAATATTACGGAATATTAAATTATTTAAAATAAAACAATTAATATTTAAAATATGTTATATTTTAAAATTTGAGAGATTATAATATAACAAAATAAATTGTTGACCGAAACATAGTGAAAAATTAAATTTTATAGTCTCAAACTAAATACATTAAAAATATTACTTTTCATAATAATTAAAAAAATGAGTGAGTCATTTCAATTTTAAAAAAGAGACAAAGATAATTCATTCTCTTTAATTAATAATTATTTTATTTAGATAAAGTTTCGTGTAAATATCTAGACAATACTTTTCTAAAAAAAATCTAAACAATGATAAAATCGAAATAAAACAATTAATATTATTTCAATTTTCTAAAAGTGACGTCTAAATGCAATAAAAAATTAACATAAGTTCAACAATACAAAGAGAATATATTATTTTTGTCTTAAAATTATAGTTCGAAATATTTTTCATATAGTTTAAAAATAATTAGTTAAATAAGATTTATTTTTTATTTTTTTCTATATATTTTTTATTGTCTAATAAATTTAATTAAATAATAATTATTTATATAATTAATAGACAAGAGTGTCGTGGGCAAGTGGCATGTAAAAAGAAAAATATTGCAAGAAATATAAGAAAAAGAAAGAAACAGCACTTTTTTTATTATTAATAATTATGTAGTCATCCTAACGTCATTATGACATGGCCCATCTTATTATTGTCAGTTTTGAAAATTGGTCGCTATCGCTCATTAAATTAAAGAATAAATAAGAATAGACTAACGCGTATGCGTTGCTTCATTAATGTGTTTTTCACGTTTTCTCTAGAAAAGGACCTTGCACTCTAAAATACCAGTAGAATAAAATATTCCAAAAGTAGAAAATTAATATTCTCAAAAAATAGTAAAAATAAAAAATAGTCGTATAAAATAAATTATTTTTTTGTGCTGAACTTTACATATAAAATAAATTATTACAATTTTATTTAAGTTGTTTTTAGGAAATTTATGATATTTACATAATATGACTAAGTTGTTTTTTCATAATTTAAACTTAATTAATGAAAATAATTATTTAAGAAAAAAAAAAACTAGGGGTGAAAGTGAGTTTGTACTTCTAAATGACAAAGCAATATACTTTAATCATTTTTGATTGCAAGGAGAACAGCTACGTGTGGTTCGGCGGTCATAATCAAAACATATATCTCTTACGTGTTGCGTCTCGAATACTCCTCTACCCACACACTCCCAGAAGTCCAGAACCAGTTTAAAGTCGTCAAATAGCAATCCTACCAACTCTCCACCCCTTCAAAGTGCAGAACCCGTCCTACAGAATATGACTATTAATGTATTTTTAAAATACTACATAAATTAGTAAATAAATACCATAATAGGTAATAAGAGAATAAATAAAATATTATTTTTGCATAAAAATTTTCACTTCTCTCCATTATTATTTTTTTAAATTAGAGAGATTCAAAATATACTTTTTTTTCAATATTTCTCTTATTTTCTATAGAGAAAAAAAAAAATCTTTCTCTACATATTTTTTTATAATTATTTTCCTTCTTCCAAAAAAAAAAAATACTAGTATTACCCGAACAAAGGTTAATCTTTTTAGACGCTGGAAAAGTGTGAAGCAATTAACATGATAACAATACTACAAACAGGATAACAGGAATAATTGACGAGATTACAGTGTTGTCCCTGCCATTAGGTCTGTGAAAAGACTGTTTCGGAACGCATTTTTGTCTCCCTTTAATGATAAACACAATAATATGCTTTTGTTAATGAGTAGACAACCCAACTGCTTCTCGGAAAAAATTTTCAAAATTTCAAAATATTAATTAAAACAAATCTAGCACATTTGGTGCTAAAATGTAAAATTTAAATATCCTAATTGTTACAAAATGAAAAATGAATAAATAGCAAATATTATTTAATGAATATGACTAGATTGATCTTCTCCTTTACACCATTTAATTTATAATTTCTCTCTTCTATTATTTGTGGCGAGACATCTTTATTCCTTGTACCATAATATAATATATTTAAAAAAAAAGAAAAAGAAAAAAAAATAAAGAAAAAGAGCTGGGTATGCATTAGATAAAGGAGTGAGAGCTATAATAATAATAATAATAATAATGAAATAATGAAAGGGAAAGCAGCAGGAGAATAGAAGCATGTGCATGCCTTATTATTACAAAGGGAAATTAAATGAAAGTCAAGGTTTAAGTTCTAATTAAAATAAGATTTTGGTGAATTATGGTTGAGCAAAGTGTCTTTAGTGTGACAGATAGCTACCTACCTACTACAAGATTCTATGAAAGAGGCTTTACGTTTGTTTAATTAGATTATGATACTTGACAGTTAAGACCCCCTTTGCTAACATCTTCTTAGAATTTTCATATTAGCAATTCGACAATCTTCCATCAAAAATTATAAAATAAGACAACTCACCATAAAAGTAGGGTTTATTATTGATGCAAGTACAGTGAATTCTCTCGTGATGGAAGTCTTTGTCAAACAAATACTATTATTTTTAGCTTTTTAATTTTATATTAAATATATAATTAATTTCTGTTAAAGATATCTTTCACTTGCCAATTGACTCAAACGTTCTTGAATTTGATTTTGGAGCTTTATAAACCAAACTTTGCTATTAGTTTAATCATTCTATCATTTGTCTAATATTTAAAATAACTCTTATTAGAATAACATCTTTAAAACAAACTTTAACTGTAAGATTAGAGGCTCCGGTAAAATTAGTTTTTTTTTATAACTGTTAACTTATTTTAATAATGCTTAACTGTTAATTTTTTAAGTAATTTTTCACAAAACACTAAAAATTAAATATTATATTACTTAACTTTTTATAAAACACTACTTTAATCTCTAAAAACTAATTTAAATATTATATTATCACACAAGATATCATAAAAAATGCTGTTGCCGCCGAATACAGTTTTAATACAAACTTTGCCTGGGAGACCAAAGGTTGAAACCTACAGTAGTGACTGCTATTAGAAGGGGACCAAAATCAATACAGATTTTTATGAGGTCTTTTAAATTTGAATATAAAGAATAAGGTGGAAGGGAATTACTTAAAGAAAGTTGTTCCTTGTCCTGTAGCTTATCAAGATAAAGCAAAATTTCCTTGAAATAGAGATACAATTTTGTAGCATTTAAGTTATGAGTTTCCCAACTCAAAAATCAAAATCCATTAGTAGCACTCAATTCCTAATCCAAGCATCCATCCTCAGCCATGCATTCTTTGTTTGTTACTGGCAAGTGAAAGCAATTTTTGAATTATAAAACAAGAAATTGGCTTTCCAGTTCAAGAGAGTTTGAAGGCATAAGCTAGAAACCATCATACAGCAAAAAGCTGAAAAAGCAATCTACAATAAACAAAAAGAAGAAAAATCAATTTCACTTCTAAATTCATTTCAGTGCATATTCATGCCTTAAATTGTTACACCCTAACTGTAAAGCATAATGGAAAAGTAAAACTGAGACACACAAATCTGTACCGGGTAAAGACCAAACCATTTTACAATATATCAAGTAAAATAGGCTACAAACGAGAAGGAAAAAAAATTGATAAAAAAAGGCATTATAAAGGAGGCAGGCCCAGTAAAATCTTAAGTTAAGCAAAGGATTTTACAAATGATGATCTACCAGGAAGGCTGGTCTTAATCGGTCGATCATGGCTGTTGTCCGTCGTAGGGCTTGGTTGATTTGTTAGACCTTCTCAATACTGCAATCCAAGTAATTACTTCCAGCAACAATGCAATACCACCCAAAACAGAAATCACAGTTATGAAAGCCGATTTCCATTTCTGTTCAGGATGCAAGATGTCTAGACCTTTAAACACATTCAAAATGCCAAGGACGAGTACAGAATATCCAATACTGTGATGATATATATTCCAGTAGAATCTATATTTGTGGTCCTTTTTCGGTCTCAAGAACAATGCAAAAACCTGAAAGGGCCAACGAAAGAGTTGGCATCCAAATTAAGAACAAAATGGTAGTAAGATCTTAGTCATGGGTACCACTGCCAGCCAAGAAGATGGACAAGTAGAGCAAAAAGACATAAAAAAATGTGTACTTTCCTAGTAAAGAGGGAAAATAAAATCAAGAACCAAATTATGGTAATGCCACTAGACAAAGCAACAAGAGAAGCACCAAGAACCATATGTTTTATTCAAACAGAACTTTCTGTATCTAATTTATATTCAATAAAGATTATAAATAAATTCAATTTAAAGAGGAGTTATGTCAATTCAATTTTACCACCATATCTACTAATTGCAAGAAACACATCAGGATTTAACAAAGAAGGAAAAAATAAATCAATTTTTTATACAAACACAATCTACCACTATATGTAGAAGGCTAAAGCCTGCAACTTTTTAACTTTCCTATTTCTCTTTCACGCATTGAACAGTTCAAAAGGAAAAGAATTTACCTGCAATGTTGCAAAAGCGAAAAGAGTAATTCCGATATTGCGATGAGCATTATACTGAATGCCTTCGGATTCACTTCCAAGTTTCATGCCAGTTGCCCAACCAGCAACTCCAATAGCATAGGCAGAAACCTGGCAGGAAATATGGAGATAAAACCATGCTGGATCTGCAGACTGGAAAGGTCTCAGGTACCTTGCAAATATAATTCCAGTTGGAAACAGAATTCCCCAGCTCACAGCATTCAGTATTCCATGAATCTGACACAAAAAGAAACACAAATTGTTAATTACTTCTCAAAAATCGCAGGACAAAGAATCATCATATCCAAATCACTTCCCTAGTTCTTAGAATTATGATTTCGTTGATTTCAATTTCCTCCTACTTCAGTTTATCGAAATAATGGAACATCAAAACGTGATCTTTAAGGAAAAACTTCAATCAACAAAATTTTCCAACAAAAAAAAAAAAAATCTCGACTTTTGGCATCTAAAACCGTAAAAGGAAAGAAAGAAAACATTTTCTAATAATAAAAATTTTACCTATAAATGAAAATAGTGAACAAAACAGAAAAAGGAAAATTATGTTCCTGAACATCTAATCCCCAGAGGAAAAGGAAGAATTAAAAGACTCAACGGAGAAGAATTATAGCAAAACTGACATTTCTCTTTTTAGTCTTGGAGTCTACTCCACCGGTAACAGCAGTCTGTCCTCCTTTCAAATCCAAGGTACCTTTAGCGTTTAAATTAGGGGTACTCATGGCATGCTGCGTTAAACCTCCTGTATCATCAACGCTAGGCCCAACTTGCCAAACCTGATTCACCGTCCCTTTCGCCGCCAAATCTGCCGGCACCTTAATCTTCGCAAAGATCCTCATAAGGCCATCTTGCTCCTCCGCCCGTTGATCCCACACATCAAACGCCAACTTCGACTTCACAACCGAAGAAGACGTATAAGAACTGATATTATACGTATTAACGGTCATAACACTTTTTGAATTCTTATAAGCCACCAACGCCTGTGCTCCCGCCATTCCTGTCCCGGTTGGATTTATGGCCCACGAACCCCAACCTGCCGATGATGGAGGAGAAGCAAGGAAGGCGATGGTGAGAGTAGTATTGGATGAATCGTAAGAGAAGTGAAGATAAGCGGTGAGCCTAGGGAGGTCTAAACAGTGAGCATATAAATCATTGCCGGTGAATTTCTGAGAAGAACAGGTTTGCGACTGCGCCGGTGAGATTAGAAAAACCCATAGGAAAAGCCCCATAATTAAAGCACAGAAACGAAGAGAAGCCATTGTTGAGACCTTTTTCTTTCTTAAATTCCTGGTGCTAAATCTTTGGCAGAATATGTAAAAAGGGAACAAATAGAAGACAAAAAGGCCTGAAAATGCGAAGAGAAACAGAGAGATAGATATACTGCAAGAATTATAATTTAGAAAATATTTTTTATTTTGTGCCCAATTAAGAAACGCAAGTTTTAAAATCAAATTTGGATTTTTACGTGGCATTTTCTAAGTAACTATAAGCTCGTGGTGATCACGCGCAAGATGTGAGAGGATGGAATGTAATTTTGATTTGAGTAACGGCATGTGCGTAATGAGTGCTGGTTCTAAATCATGATTTGAATTGGTAATTCTTCGAAATACACGGTGATTAGAGATGCCACGTAGAATATGAGGCCTGAATGGTCCCATGTAATAATAAAAAAAAAAATGTGAAATGGACATTTCCATTTGGGTGGACGATGAACTGGATTTTCCCACTGGGAGTCGCGGCAAATTTCCCCAGTCAAGTCATTTCTTCCCCATTTCTATTAGCTACCGAGTCAATTTTTGCGACAAAATGTGAGTGAGATCCATTTTGCTTATTTTCAATTTTTTTACAACATATTTAATTATTAAAATTAAAAAATAAATAAAAAATATCTTCAAACTATATCAAATTAGTACGTGAGAATTTTTATTTTTAAAAGATAAATTATAAAACTCCTAAATTCTAATTCTATTAATATTTTATCCTCTTGTCTAAAGTAGAAGAACTAAAGTATTAATAAATCATAAGTTAAGGATTACATAGTTAATTTGAAGATAATTTATAGATCAATTTTTCTTTTTTCACCTTAAAATTTTCTTTGCATACAAAGGTAATTTTATCTTTTCTAGTTAATTGATGGTTAAAAGAGATTATTTAGATAAAATGACTAAAGTATTAATAAAATAATAATTTAAGGACTTCATAATTAATTTTTGAAAATAATGATATTCATGTGTTAATTTGATTATTAGTCAGAAATCTTATTTTTCATCAAAATTAATATTTCTATGAAAAAAAATTTAGAAAATATAATTCTAAGAACATTAAATTATTATATTTAATTACAAATAATTTTTAAGCATACGTGATAATTGTATTTAAACTAACTTATGAAAAATGTAAAAATTAAAATATAACTAAATATATGTTAAAATTTCTACCATTCTAATATAAGCATTGATTTAATATTTTTTTGGATAGGACGAGGATATATAATCTCCATAGACCATAGAGCGTAAATATTTCCATAAATCAATTAAACATTGAAATGTAATAATAAGTCCGTGAGTTTCATTCTAAATAATGTAATATTCACAAGTCAATTAAACATTTCCATAAAAAATACACTTAAAAAATATTAAATTTTAAAATATTACAAATATTATATTAAATCTTCTGTGCATCCAAAATGGCAAAATAGTCCTTGGATTGTGCATTCACATGAAGTGTTCACTTTTTCTTTATTGCACATTTTGCAGTGAGTTGGAGGCATTTGCTTAGTTGTTTTTATTACGTACGTAATGGTCTGATTTGATATATCAAGTAGTTTTTCCACATCCCACTTAACTGGTTGCCAATAAAAGTTTACTTGTTGGAGATAAAAGGTTAATAATGTCAACTGGGAAAGGTTTTTACTTGCCAATAAAAGTTTATTGCATTTTTCAATGTGATGTTCAATTCTTTTAGGAAAATTTGAGGTAATTTTTTACTTTTTATGAAGTAAGTCTTATGTTTCAAATTAGCATGCTCAAATAATTGTCATGATTGACCATAAATAATGTAAAAAGCTTAACATTTTGTTTGGAAAAGGATAAGAAAATAAAATAATGGAGAAAGAAAATTTATAAAATAATAAGCAATTATTAATTTTCTTTCTATTGTTATTTACCCATTCTTGTATTTTGTTACGGTAAAGAAAGAAAAATAAATTTATTTTTCTTCATTTGGAAAAAATAAAATTTTAAAGGAAAAAATGTTATTATTGGATATAAATAATTATGTTTTCATTTAATTTTTAAACGATGAAATTTGATTCCAGTTATTTTGGAGATTTGAGTAATTTAATAAAAGAAAGGTGAAATTCTTATTTTCCTCCATTAGTTTCTATGTAAGTCGGAGAGATTAAAAAAAAAAATGGCCGACATGAAAAATAATTGAAATATTATCTCCTTCGATATTTTATTCTTTTTCTCCGAATAAGGGAAAATGTATTTTTTTTCTAGATATTTTCCATAGTAGTTTTTCTTACTTAAATAAAAACACTTCCTTAAAAAAATATAGGCTAAATCTTTTTTGAATCACATAAATTTTTATTTTTATTTTTTAGCTTCAACCTGAATTTTTTTTTATATTACTTTTCAATTAAAAGGCATTCTGAAGTTAAGTTTAATCAAAATTGATAATGCAGTACTATAGCAAATTTTCCTCGCTAATTATATATAGCAACGAAACAATAATGCAATAATCGTCTTTGAAGTGATTATACATTCCGTTCTAAATAAAGCAATTCTGTTGCTAAAAGTGTCATTAGTCATTCGTAATATTTTTCATTAAAACAAAAATAACTTTCTTTTCATCACAAATAAACTTACCAGCGTTTTGTAATTTTTTAATGAAAGAAAAAAAATAAATTGAATTTTCTATCACAAACACGCCGGTAAGTCCTCATAATTTTTTATGATAAAATTTTTTATTAATTATAAAAAAAACTATAAAGTATCAGTAATATTATTAGTGGTATTAATTCTATTTTCATCAATAAAGTTCTTAATACTAATAATATTATTGGTGATATTAATGTTATAACCTTGTCCTACTTGATTCTTTTACTTGTTAATAAAGTTCATATTGTTCTTTTAGAAAAAATTATAGCCTTATCAATGTCCATCAATGATATTTAAAAATCTTTTTAAATTAGAAAAAATAAAAAAATATTAATAAGTATTTTAAATTATTTTATTAATTACTTTTAACATAATAATAATGATATTATTAATTTTATTATTTATTAAAAATTGAAATAATAAATAATTTTATAAAATTGTATTAAATTTAGAATAATTTATATAATATAGTACTCGCCCCAAACTCCTTCTGTGTTTTATAATTGTAACAAAAAAAATGTCCATTAATGATATTAAAAAACAAATTTTTTTGAAGTAAATAAATTAATTCCTTTATTAAATAATTAACTATACACCCATATCACATCAAAATAATTTAATTATTTTCACAATCCAACAAAGAAACCACCAAACAAAACAATTACTCCCATATAAGAAGCCAAGCCCAACTTCCGAAGCATACAAGCTCCAGCCGTCTCCTCTCCGCTTGGACCAGGTGATCCAGAATCCGTCCCTCCCGTTTCCGACGAAGAAGTTGTCCCTCCCGTTCCCGTCGAAGACGACGGTGACGAAGCAGCATCTGGTCCAGAAGCCGCCGGTCCACTAGCACCACCGCCTGCACTAATCTTTCCAGCACCATCAGCCAACTTCAAAACTCCTTTAGAATTCATATTCCCGTCATTCATCGCATGCCGTACAGGCGTTCCATCTTCACGAACAGACGGACCCACTTGCCAAACCTGATTAACGGTCTCAGCCTTCTCCGGCACTTTAACCGTCGCAAATAATGCATAATTTTTGTCCAGAGACTCCGCACTCAAATCCCAGACATCAAACGACAGCTTAGACACAGAGGGAGCGACGTAAGAAGATATGTCGTATGTCTTAACGACAAGCGCGCCTTTCTCTTTATATGCTAATAAAGCTTGTGATCCTACCATGCCTTCTTTTTTTGGATTGATAGCCCATGCTACCCATCCTTCATCCGCCGCCGGAGCTGCCACGTAAGCAATTGCAAGAGAGGAGTTGGAAGCGTCGTAAGTATAATGAAGGAAGGCGGCGAGTTTGGGAAGATCAACACAGGTGGCAAAAGTTTTCCCGTTTTTGAATTTCTGTGACTCACAGGTCAGGCAATGTGCAGGTGAGATTAACAAAACTACTGCTGCATATAATGAAAGCAGTGTAATTGTTAGAGCAGGCGCCATTGTTAAACTGTAAAATGTAATAAAGCCCTGTGTTTTTGGATTGGGAGGAATGTTTTAAATATTGTTATAGAGACGAGACAGAGAGGAATTATGTGGCGTGTAGTAAGTAATTTACGGGGTTAATTAGTGGCTATTAGGGAGCTAACATTTTGTTAAAACTTAATTTATCATTTGTTTATTTATTTATTTATTTTTTTTTTTTTGGTATTGTCCTGGTAATTTGATATTTTAATTAATCTATTTAAAGTAAGTTGGCCAAAGCTAGAACGAGGGCCAGCCAGCCATACACATTCTATATTTTCGGAAAAGATGTATAGTAAGTATTGATTAAAAAATGAATTTCTCTCTTTATTTCATTCTTAATTTATAAATTTTCAACTTCTAAATCTAATTGAGGTTGGTTGCTTGTGAACTTTTGTTTTTTTTTTTTTTTTTTTTTTTTTTTTTTTTTTTAAATTTTCAACTTCTAAGATCTTAATTGAGGTTTGGTTGCTTGTGAACTTTTTGTTTTTCTTTTTTTTTTTTTTTTTTTTTTTTTGAAGGTGGGTGCCTTTTATAAACTTTTAGTTTGTTCAAGTTTCAAATTAATGCATTATAATTATTTAAAACGCGGTTTTTTCTTTGTATTTTTACACACACAAAAAAAAATAATCAATGAACATGTTTTTCTTTAATATATAATTTTGCCCTTTAAAATTTGTACCAAAGAATAAAAGGGTTTAATTTGTTTATTAAAATAATCTTTAATGTTAAATAATTAAAAATTATTTTAAAAATTTTTAAAATTAGGATGCAAAGAAATATTATTCAATAAATATGATAATTAATAAAAAAATTATAAGTGTAATTTTGTCTTTGCATTTTAAAAAATTAAGAACAAAAATTTTTATTTTAAAAAATTTATATGATTTTAAAAAAATATTTTATTATATTGGAATACTGGTTTGAGAAATCCTTATTATTTTTTTTTCTTTTTTTCTCTTTATCTATTATTTGACCTAAATCAAATATTTAATTATTTTTAACTATATTTTGATTTAAATTAAATATTTGTTTTGCTTTTGGTAAAACAATTTAAATCCTTTTATTCTCTTGATACAATTGGAGGGGATAAATTTATTATAAAAAATTAATTTTAAAAAAAAGTAATAGAATTGCGAGCATTACATATATATAATTTTTAAATCTCTTTCTAAATATATATCATATTGCTATTATTACTTTAATTCAAGTTGATTTATCTCGATCAATTTCACATATGCTTTTAATTTTTATGGGAGCTCGATCTAGCTGAAAAGCCGATCCTTCAGGAAGGTCCTTTCTTAAACGGACCTGCTATTGATAATTTGTATCTTCAAGAAAGGTAATCATATAATCATTAACATTATATTCCAATTTCAAGTAATTCTTTCTTTTTTTTTTAAAACCACAAATTTCAAGTAAATTAATAAGGTTTTCCAAATTTTCCTTCCTTGTATGGTTTATTCTTAATAATTTTGTGAAAGAGAACTAATCAATAATTTTACATTATATGGAAGGTGAGAAGCATGTTAAGTAATTAACATGATTAATTAAATCAAATAACAAACAAAGAACTGCAATTTACACAATTTTCGAAATCTTTGGAATTCGTTTGAGCTAATAGTTGAATAATTAACGGGCTATTCATTTTATTATGTATTTTATCGTATTATTTAATATTATATAAATTAAACATAATAATATTTTTAACATCAAATATTGAAAGAAAACTAGCAATAAAAATAAATAAGGAAACGGGAAACCCAAATTTCCACTTTCCAATATTAGAAATCACATGGATCCAGACTTTCTACTAGACGGTCCTGGAGCCAGGAGCTAGTGCTAGAAGACGCCACAAACTCCAATTAATTCCTTAGAATTTAACTATCTAGAATCCATTTTGCATTGGCTTCCGTGGAAATTACCAACCGGTAACAGCTCCGCCTACCTGCCAAACCTGATTCGCCCTCACCGCCTTCGCCTATCTACGGGTACCCTTCACCCTCCGGACAAATATTACCAAATTTTTCGCTCCATCAGGATTCCGTGCTCAGATCCCCACACATCAACGATAGCTTCGACACTTTGAGGCGGACCGTAGCTACTAATATTGTAAGTCGTTGACGATAACTGAATCTGAACTGTTGGATTTAAATGCTATCGAGTCTGAGATCCAATCCATTGCCCTTCGCTGGGGATTAATCGCCCACGCGACCTAAGCCCTCTGGTTTGGGCGGAACGGCCGACGAAGGGCAATGGGAAAGAGAGGAATGCGAAGACATTGTAAGTGAAAGTTGTTAGGGAGGAATTTAGCTTACAGGAAGGTCAGAAAATGCCAATAATCGAAAATACAACGTTTTTTTCCTGAATTTTTTGTTGGATGTGCATGATGAGAGAAGTTTGTTGAAGGAAAAGATTACAGAGCTAAAGACAGCCAAAAAGGCAATTAATCAGAAGCGGAATTCGAAGATAAAAATTAAAAGAAGCCATTTGTTGGTGTTTTGCCAATGGAGAGGAAAAAATAAGGGGGGGTGGGGGGGGGGAATGTTGCTTGTGTATGTAAGGGGAGAAAGGCCGTGTGGAAAGCAACAGATCGGGGACCTGATGAGATAGAAATTGCCCAAAACAGGTACAAAATTTCCAAATTCTGTTTTTTATCGGATTATAGCATTTTCTGTTTGGATTTACCATTTTCTATTGATGGGCTTAAATGTAAAATATAAATACTTTTTATAGGCAGTCTAATTGTAAAAGTCAATTTCAAATGTGTCTTAATTTGTGGAATAATTGACTATTGAAACGACCGGTATCAACTATATCAGATATTACAGTTGTAGAGGGACCATTATATAATTTCTATTTCGTTAAGGACAAAAATAGGGAATTGTACTACAGTACAGGTATGATTAAAGGTCGTGGTCCCCAGAGGAGTTTGAATTACGATTTCAGTTTTACGTTCCGTGTTTCGTACTGCTTTCCGCTTAAATCGATTCTTCAATTCTCTGAAAGGCCTGCCAAAAACCCTAATTCTACACATCAAGATCTTTTCGACCAAACAATGATCTCAGGTACGCAACCTTTTTTTTATTCAATCTTATTTTGTTGAAATCTTAGTGGTTTCTGCATGATCTGGATGCAGTATTATTTGGATATTATTTGAAATTAATCTTTTTTCATAAACAAAGTAGATTTTTAGTTATCTTTGTGGTCATTGGGTTGGTAGTGATTCTATCTAGAAGGCAGTTTGTGCATAATTGCTAGTATTTAGATTTGTTTTTATTTTCGTATTAATTTTTGTTTTTCCCTATAACTGCTTTACGGACTTGAGGGTTTTGTTTAATAAAAAAAAATTAAAAAAATGTTTCTCAACTTGCACTTGTGGGTGAATTTCATCAGAAGAAGACCCAGAAGCAATACAAAGAAAAGAAATTTTATGTTTGAAAAAAAAAAAATTCTATCTAGAACAAAGATAATAGCCAAGATATTTAGATAAAAGAAACAGGTTATTAAGAGTTTTTTGATTATTTGACGTTTGTCCATTAGTTTTGTGTTTTTTTTTTTTTTTTTTTTTTTTTTTTTTTTTTTTCCTATGGTTGGCCTGATACGTGTTTAACACCTGGAAAACCTCCATTGTCGCCGTAGACGAAATTTGTTTTTGAAATTACGTAATTATTTGTCAGTTTAGGATTTGTGATTTCAACACTGGTTTTGACTCCCTTACGCTGCCTTTCTACCTGTTCCAATTGGCGTAGACCGGATGTCTAGGCTCTTTTTTTGTTGGAAACTAAAGGAGTGATGGTTGTTTTGGCGGCGTGGAAAGAGGTCTGGCAACGGCTTATTGGTGGAGAGTAAATTTTTGGCTTGTGGAGCCGAACTTTTGTTGTTTGGTTTTTCTTTTTGTTCTTTTTAGGGTTTAGGGCTTTTTTGTGAAAATTTACGGTTAGGTTCCTAGAAAAATCAGAATTTAGTGCTCCCTCCTAATTTTCTGTTTTTTTCCGTATTAGGCCTCCTAAATTTCTTTTTTCGTATAGACAATCCTTATGGACATATATTTAATTATATATTAGACCATGGTTATATGTTCCCGAACTTTTTATTTTATTCAAATTTATTTAGTTCCAATTTTATAATAGTCTCTAATTTAGTGACTTAAAAGACTAGATTATATTTTTTTTTTGGCTGCCTAAAATAATTTACTTTAGATTATTTAAAATAATTTCTTTAGATTTCATATAATAATATTAGAATCAATTTCAATCATCTTTAATTACCAATTGTTTGTTTTAATTTACTATTGAATTAAATGTATATTACATTTGAATCGTTCTGGTTAGCACTTATTTTTTGGTTGTTGTATATCTGGAGTTTCATTAAGTCCCTATTGTGATTTGGATATTTTGTTTTTTAAATATAAATTGTGATTTGATTCGGAATAAGTCACCATAAGACTTTTGATTGCTTGAAATTGATTTATTTTTAAATATTAGACAGGCTTGTATTAGTAATTCGTTGCGGGATAAGTTTAATTCGGCCCAAGAAGTAAGTGGTTGGCTATACTGGCTCTAGAGTGTTGAATACATGTTTATGCCAATATAGTATAGTGTAAATGCTGTTTTTGTGGTATTATATTTTTCTGCGGATGACAAATGATATTCGGTCCCAAAGAAGGATTTATTATTGCAGGATTATGTGTATCTAATATTTGATTTTTGATGCGATGAGATACGTAATGTACAAAGGTTAATTGTTTACCATCCAAGATGAGAAATATTATATTGTCATGTGTCGTATCTTATTTCCATTTTTTTTGCATCGATTTCCTACTTAATGTAATGTTTTTCATTTGTGGATTGTGTAGCTTATACTTATCTATTTGGTTGTATTTCTCTGTATGATCAGCTAACATGTATTTAATCTCTGTGATGTGTCCCTAATACTTGAGGTGTGGATCATATACTTTTTGTAGTTCTTAGTGGAAACATGATCATTTATGATCTTATCAGTGG